GTCTGCATTTTTTGTTTTGGACTGTTTTTTTATTAGTGCGATTAACATAGACTTTCATGTTTTTACGGGAAGCAGCAAAGGAACAATGATTGTAGAGGAATGGGATTAGTATTTAGCCATGTTTTGGTAAGTTGTACTGCCGAGTGAAAAAGACACACCTGAGGCTAACTCCGACCACATCCTGTAGATTTTGTAGAATGGAAGAAAAGTTCAATCCTTTTTGTAGAGTTTTAGGTCTTCATTATTATTTTTGTTCAGTCTTGATAAAGCTGTGGAGCTAAATTATCAGTGGATTGCATTTGATGATGTTTGTTACCATGTTCAGGTGAAATTTTTCACTATTAAGATTTGTATAAGATCCATATGCTCTTGTTCAGTTTTCTGATTTTATGAGTTTGTTTGATAGGTGACAGTGAAGAATCCAAACCTCTTGTTGCTTGTGGTTTCGTTACCAAATCCACCACCTGAAGCAATGTCCTTTGATGGACTTCCATTAGGAGCTATAGAAGCCATTAAAGCTACTTACAGGACTGGTTTTCTGATACAGATTAACACGTGCGGGAATACACGTGCGAGGGTCAAGTGGTAAACGGCACCTATTAAACATCAACATGTGGAGAAAGAAGAGTGGCGAGTTTGATTATGCCGTTAGAGCATAGCATAAATAATAAGTGACTAAACATTTTACGATCTTATCGTTGTAATTTCTGAGATTCTCTTTTCTTCTAGAACCTTCTCTGTAATGGCTGGGTTTCTCTCATCTTGAGAGCTGGCTTGGTAATCCTCTCTGCGTTTTTATGAACGTTGTTTGGATTGTTTATCGAATCGTGTTTCTGATTATCAGGATTTGTGTTGTTTATCGAATCGTGTTTCTGATTATCAGGATTTGTGTTGTTAGAAGAATCGGAGAAATCCTGTATTATTTTCAAGAGGTTGAAGTATTGTCTCATATCACATGGAAACCCAAATGGGGAATGATCTTCTCTGATATCAAAAAGAAAGTCAGCAGGAACTGCGAGGTCTCTCAGAGATCCACGATGGCTATTACAATTAGTTTAAGTGTCGAACACTTTGTGTTTTCTTTTATTACATGCACTTGACTTTGTTTTCTTATGTTACTAATGGCATATGTTTTCTCTTGGTAAAAATATATCTGAGAATGCAAACACAAATACACAAACTTAAAACATCTTAACTGGAAAAAAATTGAATCAATTATTTTATGGCATGTACTTTAGGTTTCAAGTTAAATGATTTTTGGGATTTTAAGATTTTGGTTATGATTTTCGAATTTTGTAAAAAAAAAATAAAGGAAAAAGAAAGAAAAAAAATATAACCAAATATCTCAAAAAGACACAAATATTTAATTATAATATTAATAATTATATAAATAATAACAAAGTTATAATTTTAAAGAGTTTAGGGTATAGGATTTTGGATTATTTGTTTGAAATAGTAATAATATTAATTATAACAAATAATAACATAAATAAAATTCATTTTTAAAAATAGTTTAGGGTTTAGGGTTTAGTTTTAGGGTATAGGGTTTAGGGTTGGAAGTTCAATCTTGAAACATATTTCACTTTTTATAAATTAACAAAATAAAATGCAATGAAATTATTTTAAAGTAATAATACTTGAGTAAAAAAATCTAAACCCCAAAGTTTAAACCCTAAACCCTAAAATATGCCTTAGTGTTTATGGACATATAAGTTAGATAGTTGGAATACTAACCTATATTAGTTGTTCTTAAATTTAAAATTTTATACTTATAAGAAAAAATATTCTAAAAATTGAAATACTTATATTGATTTTTTATAGAAATAATTTCTATTTTTTTCATTAATAAACTATTTTATATGATAATTTTATGATTTTTTCATTACTAGCCAATGAGAAGTAACCTCCCAGATTATGGGACGAATCATACACCGTTAGATCGCGCCGATTTTGATCTCAGCCGTCCATTCTTATTGTTGACGCGATTAATGTACACCGTTGATCTGTCTTGATAACTTTGATCTGAGCCGTTCTTTTTCTTAGCCAATGAGCATTAACCTCTGAGATTGAACTTTGGCTTATTCGCCACCATTGATGAATTAAATCCAACGGTTAAGATTTTCTCCTTGTTTTGATTAAAACTTATTCTTCTTTTTGCCTTGACTCTTCGTATCCTTCTCTTATGTGAAAATCAAACAGTTGGCTTCCCGTTCACATCTCCGATCAGTGGAGGTCCTGGAGGATATAGAAGGTGGCGGTGAGGACATCTTCGAATTTCTTTTCCGGCTCGCGAGGCGAAGGTGGCTACTTCTATTGATTCCGAGCTGTTAAAGATTCTTACTTTGTTTTATCTTAAACAACAAGTGCAGTTGATTGTGATGGGATGGACTAACACATTACCAAACCACGTCATGTGCTTTCTCTATGCGACAGAAAGGAAAACTCAATCCTGTTCATCTTGTTGATGTTCCTGGGCACTCTCGGCTTCGACCCAAGCTTGAAGAATTCTTGCCCCAAGCAGCTGCCATTGTGTTTGTAGTGGATGCCTTGGAGTTCCTCCCAAACTGTCGTGCAGCTTCAGAGTAATTTTAAACCCTCTCTTTCTCTCCCACACACACATACATAAAAGACATGTTTGCATCTCACTCTTGAAAAAAATGTTTTTTCCAGCAATAGGTACCTATATGATATTTTGACCAATGCGAATGTTGTCAAGAACAAGATTTCAGTCCTCCTTTGCTGTAACAAGACAGATAAACTCACTGCACACACCAAGGAGTTTATTCGGAAGCAGATGGAGAAAGAAATGTAAGATTTTCAATTTTCATGGCAAATTATATATAAGCCAATCTTGCTGGATAAAAGCTAATCATCATCATTGGTTAAATGAGTTTATGCAGTGAGAAATTGAGGGCTTCTAGGAGTGCGGTATCTATAGCTGATATAGCGAACGACTTCAGCATTGGAATTGAAGGAGAAGTGTTCTCCTTCTCGCATTGCTACAACAAAGTCACTGTAGCTGAGGCATCTGGACTCACCGGAGAAACCGTCCAGATCCAAGACTTCATTCGAGAATACATCAAGCCTTTAGCTCAAACGTGCATTAATAGATTGAATCTACGACTAGATTCTTATGCCTTTGGTCTGTGACTTTGATTTGAGTTTAGTGATCCTTTTTGTATATGAGTTCTTTGTTTGCTCATTGTGGTTCTAAAAGATAGGAGACAGAGGAGGAAGATGAAGATAGGAGACATAGGGGTAGATGAAGATAGGAGATTTATCGATCTTGTATATTTTTATTGATGTAGTATTTTAAAAAAAGGTTTTTGTATATATTTCATGTAATAATGATAATAAAATATTGTATTTTTTTATTTTATTTTTGATTTAAATACAATTAAAATAATTAAAAAAATAAAAATATTGTAAAAAATATATATTACTGAAATAATTAATCAAATATAAATATTACAGAAAAAACAAATTATGAAAATAGGTACAACCCAATCATAACGATTATTACACGTTATTATAAATATTAATAATAGCAGCGTCTTAAACGCTATCGTTGTATACTTAACTATTGCACAACGCAAAACCGCTATCAAAGTGCCCGACTTTCTATAACGGGCGATGTCAGAGTGCTTAAGGAAACGCTATGGTAGATGAATAATTGCGTTTTTCGGCCGCTATTAATACCCACATTTCCTGTAGTGCGAGATAGCCGATGAATAATTTAAAAGAGATCCATTTTTCGTGCCAAGAGGAGCACATTTTCGTCACTCCCAAAAGAAAATTGTAAGAACATAGATTTTGAATTTGTTTTTTAAGAAGTCATATGTTTTTATGTTGAAAACTATGTGAAGGAATTTAAGCCATGAGTGAGCCGATCGAGACATATATAAAACATTCAAACTAGTTTAAGAAGTATGTATATCTCGTTTTATACACACAAATTTTGTATTCTGACACTTTTTTCTTGTGGGCCAAAAGGTCCCATGAATAATGCAAGCTTCACTAATTCACGAGATCGTGTCTCCATATGAAGGAATTATACAAGTTATTCAGATCTTTTACAATATGAAATATTGAAAAAGCTGAAAGTGTTGCACTAAAAATCGTTCGTTGATGATTGATGAAGGAGCTTAGTATGGAAGATCTAGAGTGAACCATACAATCATACATATATCTTTGATTGTTTTTATCAGATTTGTACGCATTGTATATGTTTGGAAACTGGCCAGTATAATATGCATTATGCATATTTTTCTCCATGCATGGAGAAACATATAGAACTCATACCTTAGCTTATATGAAAAGTAACTAGTATTTTCTCTTCACAAATCTCGCATCACTTCTTAAAGTAAAGCTACAAAGATGTTAAATACATAGTTTTTTGTAGTGTGCAACTACTTTTTTTTTTAATATTCAAACATTCATTTTCTTAAAAAATGAAGTGCTTCACTGCTTCTAATTACTATTAAAACCTAATTACCTTTGAATCTAGGTTATCGAGCTTCTCTTGTTAAGCCAACAATGCTCTGCTATTAAATTTTATAATGAAAATTGAATCTACATTCGTTCTTCTAACATATTTTTCTGTCATGTTCAATTGAAAGAAAAAGAACAAAAAAAAAATTATACTTTGCTTTTTTTTTTTTTTTTTTTTTTTTTTTTTTTTTACTTTGCTTATTCTTGTTAGTGTTCCTGGTTGGAGAGACTAGATGGGCTTCCATGAGTACCATATATGCATAAGATTTCAAACACTCTTGGGAAATTCGAACTAGTCTCCCTCGTTCACACTCCCTAGATGGTAAATGGTGGATTAATTAGCGCGCGGGATCTTACTATATTTGACGCTATTGTTTCCCCAACATTACCGGGATCTTGTAATGGCTGAGACGTCCACAAACCTTTCTTATTAGTAATGCATTATGATTGACAAAAAAAAAACGTTTCTTGTTGGTTTTTTTTTTTGTGTGCACCAAAGTGTGTTTCTTGTTCATTATTCAAATCACTGTGTTTCTCATACACTCTAGCTAACTCTGTTTTTTTTTTTCACCAACCAATAAAACTTTAGAAATTTGGCAAAATACTATAAAAGACTCAAGTCTGTTCTTCATAACCGTATGTAACACTCGGTGCTCTCAAAGCCTCTACCAGTAAGTAACTCGACCTGACCATACGAAACCGTTTTTCTTCCAACCAAGGGACCAAGTGTCCTGTCAATTTTTCTTTTTAATTTTGGTTAAATTTAACATTCTTTATAACCAATTTCTCTTTTGTTCTCCATCGAATAACTTTTTATATTTCGAATCTCATGTAACTTAAACTGTGGTTAAAATTTAATTTTAACACTAGACTAAGACATCATAATTAATTAACTAAACTAAATTTCTATTTTCAAAAAGAGAAATTCTCAATAAAGCATCTTGCTTTCGTAGGAATCACCGAAGATGCTTTTGGACTATATATTTGACAAATCAATAAAATAAAGAAATAAAAGATTAAGAAATAAATGCTCAAAGCCTCAAAGTAAAGACTAAAGACAAAAAAATTGGTGAAAGCAAAATAGTTGGCATTGGAGTGAGCGAACGTAACCACTCATAACGCGTTTGAAAGAGATTGTTGTAATGACTTAAGAAACTTCGTAACGGTTTTAAGATCACTCACTCATTGACTCTCTCTCCGTTTACACACTTATGTTTTGACGCGACCTTCCAACCATAAAATACTAACTAGATAATATCCCGCACTATATGCGGGACAAAACGATTATTAATTATATTTTAATATATTGATAATATTGAAGGTGTTCAAATTTTATATTATTAGATAAACGGTAGAGTATTAATGATTATCAAGATTAGTGAATTTTTTTATTTATGTATTAAGTTTTATGTTTATCATGATTTATGATATATATTTTGTTATATTAATGGTTTCACAAAATATTAAGTACTCCATTTCGTATAGATTTGTACCTCTTAATTACATATTTTAATTGTATTTTTGTTTTGATTGAGAAAAATAAAAAGCATAAATTAATTAGAAAAAATAAACATAAGTAAAACTAATGGCAAAATCTGTAAATATCCTAATAAATGTTGGGTCTTTAACTAAATAGATTGAGAAGTTCTGTGAGAACGACACGTCAGCATGACATTTTCGTTCATCACACATGAGGGTAAGGTTATTTTTAAAAAATGCTTCTCAATTAATATATAAGAGATTTCATTTTTATTTTCACTTCATCGATATCTTGTGACATGTAAATATGATTGGCTTATCAAAAATCTTCATACTAATTTTCATGTTTGTTCTCATCTCTCTCCCAAGATATCCGTTAGGAGCCTAGGACCGTTACTTCACTTTTATTGTTTTCATGTGGAAGAACTAAAAAATATCACAATTTTTGTTGTGTTTTAAAAAAAAATAAAAAAATAAAGAACACTATTTTGTTGTTGTTGATGTTGATTGTGTAAATATACTAAAGAACAATGACTATGTAACTCAAATATATAGCTCAACCGTTTTATAAAAAATATATGTGAGCTTAAACAACTGAAATGTATTAGGCAGTGTTCTAAAAAACGGTCTAGGCGGTCGTCTAGACCCCGACTAGTTTTATTTATATATATAGTTATAAATATTCATATATTGTTTAATATAAATATAAATAAATGTTTTATTTAGTTTTTGTTTATAATTTCATAATTTTTAGTTTTATATAGCTATTGTATATAACTTTTATATATAATATTATATTTATAATGTTTTAGGTTATAAACGTCTAAACCACCTAAAAAATCGCCTAGGTCCCGATTAGGCGTTTTAGGCGCTAGGCACTGGATCACCGCCCGCTTAGCGCCTAGCGCTTTCTTGAACACTGATATTAGGTAATTATGAGATGTCACCATTATAAAAACGTTTTATAAATTTACATTAAAAAAGACAACTGAAAAGTTAAAACTATATAAACACATCTGTCTGACTCTACCTACTGAATTTTCTAAAACAATTTGTGATATTTGATATGAAGAAAGTTGATAATACATAGTGTTAACTATGTAAAAACTCTCTTCAGCAAAAAAAAAACAATGTAAAAAATCTATATTTATTTGCTTACTGTTAAAAAAAAAATTTATACTAGAAATTTTTAAAGTTTTTGGTATTCTAACTGTTGTTTAAATTTGTTTAACAACAAATCCCAATGTATATCTTTTAAAAGCAGTGACATTTTTCGTTTACAAGAAAAATTGTATTTACTTTTAAAATTTTGAAATTGTTAATTTTTTTTAACTTAAAATTTTAGACGACCAAAACTAAGCTTTTATAATCATTGAAATACATTGGTACATCTACCCACAAAACAGGTCAATCATCTAGTTTTAATTATACTTAAGCCTAATTAAAAAACAGGGGATCATTACATGTTAATGAGATTCAAACGAAGTTATAAACTCCACAATTCCACTCAAACTCAAATATATCAAATCTTTTTTTTTCTTCTACTTATGTCATCATAATAGACTTAACTGCTATCAAATCTTTTCAAATTAAATTTTACTTATGTCAATGTGGGAATGACCGAGTTACTAGAGAGTTAGGATTAATATTAATTCTTGTTTCTAATCGATTCATATATATATTATTTTCTTGGAAGCTTCTTCACATGAATCATATCAATGACCTAACTCTTCATTTTTTAAAAAATATGTTCTTTACTAAGTGACACAATGCAAGTTTTTTGTATTTTAAATGTTTATTTCGTTATATTCACACACGAGATTTAAACACCTAAAATCAAATTGTACGAGAATAGTGTTAGTTATTCAGTAGTATGATGCAACGTACAAAAGTTGATAATTCGTTGCGAATATTTATGATACTTATCACTACCTTAAGGTCATTACTTACTTCCTTTTTGATGGTCGACATTTTCATTGCCAATAAGCTTAACATTCATTAATTTATATTAAACCACAGAAACAAACATTTGTTAATTAAAGAGTTTAAATTGGCATTTCTCTATTAGTCCACTTAATTTAATACTATCATCTTCAAAAAGATTTCATTATTAATAATTTAATACTTTATACGTTACATATTGTATTAAATGAATTATCGTTGGGATAAACTTTCACATTTTTCAAACATATGAATCATAATGTGACACATGGAAATTTCCCGTAACCGAAGCTCCCATAGTAGATGCTTGTGCAATTCTTATTCTTGCAGCCTAAACTCTTGCATGTTCAGTAAAAACACCATGATATGAAAAATAAATCTTAGCCCTTTTTAATTTTT